ACGCCAACCAGTTCACTTTGTAACTAACTTGACTTGCAGCTGAGTGTCGCCTTTATATAGCAGTCGCAGACGAAAGCGTAGAAGCATCGAATTGTTCGCTATGGAAGGTTCTTGTTTTATCGTTTCTAGAATGTACTAGTTATCGGCTTCTCTCTTTCATCTGACATTCGCCTCGCATTTTCGCAACAATATATATTAGGGCTATGTTATCTAAACTCATTTGTATACACATAAAATAAGCACTTGAGTGTCAAAACTGTACCTCACACAAACCAATGTAATTAGTCAATAAGGATGAATTTAAGAAATTGTATATAAAGAGAAAATTTAATAAACTAGGATTAGGATGAATTGATTCTCCCACAAAGCAAATCTTTGATTTCCCCCACCAGCGGTAAGGAATTTTAGACACTACTTTGTGGTCTTTACTTTTTGTTGCATGCGAGCCTTAAAAGAGCTCAGCAAAGGTATTATAAGTCTCTAAAGAAAAAGAGCATTACCAAACAAAATTAATTTATATAAGTCGAGAGAGTAAGTCTGTTCGCATTAAAACAATAAAATAAGCCGTATTAGTGAAAACTATACGCACAAAATAATAAATTGTAATCCAAATGAATAATCAACAGCTGTGAGTCGAGGCACAGCAAGGTCAACCAGGCGACCAAATCAATTTCCTCCAACGGTTCTTTTGGAGAAGTAAATCAATTTATATTAAATTCAATAAAAACAATATACAATTTTTTAAAATGGCTACAAAACAAAAACTGTTAGAAGAACAGAAAAATTTGGCAGAGCAGTTCAACACGTGGCTGATAAAATTAGAAGGCCGAACAACACGTGCAACAGAAGAAGCGAAGATAAATATTACGAGCATTAGAGAAAAGTTTATCTCAAACCATCACCAATTAATAAAGCTAGGTGTGGAGAATGAGTCATATTTTACTTCAAATTATTTTGATGACTGGATGCGCAAAATTGCCGTCAGCCTAGAAAAATATAACGCAGAATGCGAAGAAGTCCCAGAAGCTAGCACTTCAAAAAATAATAATAAGACAGAAGGTCATAAGATTATAAAAAAAGAACTTGAAGATCAAATATCACGATTTGAAAAGTACGCGTCAAGAAGTAAAGAAGAAATTAAGAATGAAGTGTCAGAAGTATTTCTTCAAACTTTAGAAAAGGAATACAAATCCCTTGAAAAGATATACGAAGAATATTCATCAACAAGCAGAGACATGCAATACTTAATGGATGAATGTGAAGGTGAAATGCACTACATAAGAATGGCAGTTTCTAAACATAACAGAAAACAGTCACAGACGCCAAGTGCTTTTTGTAACCTTAAAGTAGAGGATATAAAAATTTCGCCATTTTATGGAGACTTGTCGCAATGGCCTACGTTTAAGGANTAGTGCACAAGAAATGTCGAGCAAGTATCCTGCGCGTATTGTAAAATACCAGGACACAAAATTACATACTGCAAAAAATTCAAATTTCTAACAACGACACAAAGACGAGAATTTGTAACAAAAGCCAAACTATGATTCGTTTGTATGGAGCACTATTATAGCTCAAAGTGCAACATTCCTGAAAAAAAGTGCGTTAAATGTGGTTTTAAGCACCATTTTTTGTTGCATGATGAATATAAACCGAAAGAAATCGAAAAATCGAAAACACTGGTAACAAGTCGAAAATCACAAATCAATTAGCTACAGCTCAAGTAAGGATAAAGTCAGCTACTGGCGAACATATTTTACTTCGAGCTCTTGTTGATCAGGGATCACAAAAGACAACGATTTCCGTAGAAGCTAGTCAGCTACTTAATCTACCTCGAATGAATTTAAAATCTGAAATATACGGTCTTGAAGAGACCAAAGTTGGCGTTTCTCAGAATAAGATAAAAATACAGATACAGCCAAGATTTATAAGCGATTACTCAGTGACAGCGGAAGCCTTGATTTTGCCATCGTTAACAAGTGTGCAGCCAGAAAGGTCGTTCAACCAAGATATCGAAGAATGGAAGAGCTATGTTTTAGCCGACCCTTTATACAACAAGTCAGACAGAGTAGATGTCGTAATAGGCAGCGACATATTTGGTGACATCTTAGAAGAAGGCTTTGTAAAAAAAAGGTGGCATTCTAGGACAATCAACGAAACTAGGCTGGATACTTTCAGCAGCTGTGACAGCAACCCCTGGTAATAAACAAATTTTGTCAACAGTAACAAGATTAGAGAAGTCTTGGGAACTGGAAGAAGTCCCAACTGAAGCGGAATCATCCACCGAAGACGAGTTGTGTCTATAAATTTACGAAGACACTGCTAAATTAGACGAAGACGGAAGGATCACTGTTAAGATATCTTTCAAAGAAACTGCGAACTAGGAGAATCCATAAAGCAGGCTGTGGCACGCTTTCTCTCATTGGAAAAAAGGATGGCACAAAACGTTAACTTGAAAAATGAATATGTCAAATTCATTGACGAATACCAAAAGCTGGGACATATGGTAAGAGTATTTAATGAACAAGATTGCAAATACTATCTTCCCCATCAAGCTGTTATTCGTGAAGGCAGTACGACAACGAAACTGAGAGTAGTATTCAACGCATCAGCCAAAACATCGAATGGAAGAAGTCTTAACGACGTGATGTACACGGGGCCTAAATTGCAAAGGGATATATTTGACATAATCTTAAAATGGAGATTATGGAAATTTGTGGTGACAGCAGACGTCGAAAAAATGTTCCGTCAAATTAAAGTACACAAAGAAGATCAACAGTACCAAAACATACTGTGGCGCAATGACAGCAAAAAGCCATTAACAGTGTTCAGGCTTAATACAGTAACTTATGGAACGGCATCAGCACCATTTTTAGCAGTTCGAAGCCTATTTAAGATCGCTGAAGACTGCAACGAAGAGTTAATAAAAAAAGTTATTGAGGAAAATTTTTATATGGATGACCTCATGACCGGAGCAGATAGTGTAGAAGAGTGTAGTGAAATTAAACAAAAAATCGAACAACATTTAACGAAGTTTGGTTTTCATTTAAGAAAGTGGCTCACAAATAATTCTTCAATACTTAAAGATAATGTGCTACAGGCCAGTGAAGAAAATTACATGATAAATAGTGATGAAGCCGTGAAAACGTTAGGACTTAAATGGGATCCTAAAAGAGATGAATTTAAGTTCGATATTGACTTAAAAGAAAATCAGAAAATCACAAAACGACAAATATTGTCTAATTTAGCCCTATATTCGATCCACTTGGGTGGCTATCTCCAATAACTATTGTCTTAAAACTATTAGTGCAAAATCTTTGGACACAGAAGCTAACTTGGGATGAAGAATTATCATTACAAATCCCTACATAGATGCAAACTTTCGAAATGATAGAAATAGAAAAAGCATACGCGGCAGTGGTGTATATTAAATATGATGAACAAATAAACATAGTGGCAGCAAAAAGCAAAGTTAATCCGATGAAAAATAGAAAAACCTTGCCAAAACTAGAGCTTTGCGCAGCTCACCTATTGTCAAAATTAATACATCGAATATTAATTACGATCAAGCAAAGAGCGAAAGTGTACGCGTGGAGTGATTCTACCATCACTTTATGTTGGATAGAAAACAACAAAAGTAAAGACAAATTTATTCGAACTAGAGTCAACGACATTAAAGATTTGATTCCAAGTGCAAAATGGAATCATGTGGTTTCTAAAGAAAATCCAGCAGACATAGCATCAAGAGGAATTTCACCCAAAGAACTACAAATGCAAAAATTGTGGTGGAATGGTCCAGACTGGTTGAGAGCATCAGAAGACAAGTGGCCACAATCAACTAGCGAGAAGACAACATGTGCAGTAACTGGAGTGAGTAAAATTAATAAAGATCATCCTTTAGACTCGCTTACAGAAAAATATTCCAGTTTTCAAAAACTAATTAGAATTTTTGCATATGTATTGCGATTTAAAAATAAATTGCAAAAACTTAAATTCTATCCGCAATATTTAACATCACGAGAATTAAAAGCAGCAAAAATAGAAATTATCAAGAGTTTGAAAATGAATTGGAAACATTGTTAAAAAAAGCAAATTTAAAGCAAAATAGTAAGTTAGCAAACTTGTATCCATTCATCGATAGCGAAGGTGTGTAGGTGGTAGGCTGAAAAACTCAAACATCTCATGTGAGCAAAAACATCCAGCAATTATTAACAAATCTCACTTAGCATGGTTAATTGTTATGGATGCACATAATAAAACATTACATGGTGGCAATCAATTAATGGAAGCAACAATAAGAAGAAAGTACTGGGTAATAAATCTTAAAAGAGGAGTTAAAAAATGTATTCGACATTGTGTAAAATGCATAAGATATCGACAAGAAGCTTCGCAACAAAAAATGGGAAATTTAACTGAGATGCGAGTTTCACAGTCTTCACCTTTTACACATACCGGTGTCGACTACGCCGGACCATTACTTATAAAGTGCTCCAAAAATAGAGGTATCAAAGCTTGCAAAGGATACATTGCGATATTTGTGTGTATGGCAACTAAAGCTATACATCTAGAAGCTGTGTCAGATCTAACGACAGAAGCCTTCTTAGCAGCATTAAGAAGATTTTTTGCTAGAAGAGGAAAAAGTTCACATAATCAAATAAATAGCATCCAAAATTTAATGACAAATGCTATTGACGTCTTCAGATTCTCCACGACATTTCAATTAATCACAATGCAACTACAAACAATACTAAATGAATGTGGGAATACACAGACAGCAGTAATAAATATGCTGATTGATGTTAATCACCAGCGAATAATTCCATCCTTAATTAAACCTTCTCAGTTTGTTAAAGAAATTCAAAATATAAAGCTTAAACTTCCATCGAAATTGAAATTACCTGGCGAAGGAGAAAATGAATTGAAAGAAGTATTAAAAACTATGACTGCAAAAGGAATAATTGTAGACAACAAGCTAGTAATTAACACCGAAATACCCTTACTACAAGCCCAAATGTCAGAAGTCTTCAGACGCGGTACCACTAAATAAAGGAAATATGACTGTAGTTGCTAAACTTAAATCCGAGTTGATAATCTTTAATTTCGAATTTGATGCTTACCTTTTATTTAATCAAGCGCAATTAAATAGATGTCAAAAAACCAATTACGACCATTACATTTGCTATGGAGATTGGCACTGGACCTCAGCTACCGACAACTCGTGCGAAGTATCTGCTATTAAACATACGAACACCGCCAATTGCAAGTTTCAACAAATTCAAAACGGCGAATTTTGGGTCGAATTGCATAAGCCCAATACATGGATCTTTAAGCTGAATAATATAGTGAGAGTCAGCGTGAACTGTGGACAATCCATAGCGAAGTGGATAAATTTAGCACCTCAAGGCATTCTTTCTATGAATCCGGGTTGCAGTTTGAGATACAATGGAGGGTTTCTAACATCTTTATCAATCGCGACATCCGAAACCTTCTTCGATCCACAAACAGCTTGGATAACAACCATTGATGTCATAAAAGATGAAAATATCAAGCCTTTCCACTCCTCAACAATCAACCATCAACAAAAACTCCGCAATTTACAACAAAACTTAGATGAATTCAAAAAGCAACGACTAAATTTAAGAGGATTAGACTTCCATCATGTAACAGGTCATACAACTTTAATATTAAGCATATAAATCATAATTATTTTATTAATATTATACATTGAATTCATTCCCAAAATGTAAAAATTCACTTTGAATCACCTATAAATAATAGTCGTCTGCAAGATGTTCAACTGTAAAACAATTTTAACATATATTATTACAGTCCACTAAATATTATTTTCTTTTCCCTCGGCAATATGTTCAAGTATCTTTGAACATGTTTATTTGTAAGCTGATACGGAAAAGTGATTAAAATATAAAAATATAAATACAATATAAACATAAAAATGCACTCAATTGCATACACATACATACATACACACATACATGTATATTAGGGCTATGTTATCTAAACTCATTTGTATGCACATGAGTTAGGCACATAAATTATACACATAAATTAAGCACTTGAGTGTCAAAAGAAATTGTATATAAAGAGAAAATTTAATAAACTAGGATTAGAATGAATTGATTCTCCCACAAAGCAAATCTTTGATTTCCCCCACCAGCGGTAAGGAATTTTAGACACTACTTTGTGGTCTTTACACCTAGAATTTTTAAAATTGATTTTCTTATAAGAGATTTTTTTGCTTGGAATAATGTACATGTACATCTATGATTGAATAGTTTAATACCTTCATAAAATGATTTTTTTTAATTTAAATTTGATAGCATTAAAACGTCTGTTCGCAATAATACCGAAAATTTATCTTTTAGTTGTACCATATGTCCGGAAAATATATTGGATAACCTAGAGGTTTTGCGGACAAAATGCTCTCACTTATTTGACCAAACGTGTTTATTAAATTGGATGAAGAAAAATTCTTCATGTCCACAGTGCAGAGCTCTATGTAATAGTAAAGAGCTGTTGCAACGAACAACAGGCGTGAGAACCAGATTACAAGCTGTTTTTAGGACTGATGATCAACCATCTACTTCACATGCTTTACAAGCCAACATTAACCCTTCAATAGAAGACGTTTACTTACCTAATCAAAACACTGCTGAATCGACGCCGGGGACGAGAAATGAAGAGGGACGTTTACATAATTGAACAAATAGTTGAACAAAGACTATAAAACTCTAGTATTAATGCTATAGGTAGGCTGAATTGAAACACAGGCCACAGTAACAATAGCCGTCACAGATCTTTTGATAATGTTCGACGTAAATTAACAAATGGTAATGAAAGTTTTAGCTCCAATGGTTTATTCCACAGACAGGTCGATAATATGCGGTTTAGCGACGTTACTCCAACTGCAAATTCTAACAAGTTTGCCCACTTTATTGCTTGTTAGGATATCAAATTTGATGATACTCCACGTTTATCCGTCGAAAATTTAATTATAGCATTGAGTCCCAAGTAGTTGATACTCTGAACAGTAACTTTAGCATTTTGTGTGAACACACACAAAGTTTTTTTGCGTTAGAAGCTAAAGATTGGTACTGGCGTTACCATCGTTATGTCAAGCGTTGCATACGAATTTCGGTGAACATAAAACAGATACAGAGATAAAAGAATCGATGCGTGCTCGTAAACAAGTTATCTCTGAGCGCTTTGATGATTATCGCAATGCAGTTTTAAAAATCGCCGAAAACCTAGCTAATCCGTTACCTGAACAAAGAGGTTTAAAACCTAGAGTTAGACAAAGTTTACTTTACGTTCCGATCAATTCGTAAGCAGAGTTAAGTAGACACTGCTTAAAAGAAGAAAGTTTGATGAGCGCATTTTCTAAATCGAACCAAAATTTTGATGCTAATAACCAAAGTTTTAATCAATCGAAAGGACAAGTAAACGAAATTTCCAACGATATTCAATTGGATGATGTACTCGTATTAGGCAAAGACCATATGAATGAAATTAATAAAGTCACAAGACAAGTTATTTCCAGTAAATTGGTATGTTGGAATTGTCGACAGGAAGGGCATCGGTTGTTTGATTGCGTTAGCATTTAGTTACAGCTATGGCGCTGCTGGCATTTCTAAGCCGAACTGCATTAATTGCCATCCGGAGAACTTAAAAGTGAGCGAAGGTTCGACGATGAATCTTCGCTGCGACCAAACCAAGATATAGTAAACTTATGTAAGATCCATAACCACAAATACAATCGGTGGTAACGTATAATGACATTCCCAAGCAACATAGTGTCGCGCACAAGAGTTTATAAATACAATACGTTACCTTGCGCGGATGGCTAACATTCTTCGTTAAATAGAACACTTTTAGTATAAATATGTAGGTGTACGTATTAAGTAGATTAAAGGTAAAACTATTACAAGAGTATAACGCGCGTCCCAAGTCATACATCGAATACTAATTAGTCGGTTACCTTGTTTTAAATGACCCTACGTCATTTCGTGTCAAAATGTAGCAGTGTTGCACTTATCCGTCATGAGTCAATATCGTCAGAGCTGTATTCAGATGGTGTGACATCTCGGCCCTTCCAGACTTAAATCGTCCCCGATTTCGTCTTCGGGTTCTCGTTCAGGACAATTTCTACACCATGGTTTCATTTTATCAGAAGCGTATACTGAACAGAATTTTTTGTTAGTTATCTGGTAGCCTGGTATATCTTCCACTAAATAAAAATGCCAAACCTTTCGTACAATGTATGGTCCG